CGCAACTATCAAATGATTACATACATGTAAATGCCCAGTAATTCATGGGGTTCCACTCAAATGACATCCAACTGGTCTTCAGAAGGTTCATGACATCACAATGTAAAAAGAAACCTTAAAGTTCTAACATGGGAACCTGTGACCAGTTGACCTTGTTATATGTAGGTCACCTGTCCCTCTACTTTTATAACTTAATAACATACATGTATTCAATTTCTGTTCTCTATTTAGCACTCAGTGCGACTAGTGACCAAGTCCTAATCACTCCTCTTTCTCTCTCTCCCTTATAAATATGCATTCCTTCTATCCTCTGTAGTGTTGAGTGTGATCGGTTGTTGATATGGTGAGTCACCTAGTCCCTCCTATGGACGTGTATAATAAAATCTGGACTCCCAATGCCTATAGAGCTTATAGAGATCATTGAATCCACTCGCGGCCATTTTACCGAGCCGAATGCAAAGCTTTCCTAGCAATGCCCGCCTTTGTTCTTCCTGACGTCAATAGAAGGGAGCCAACCCATGCATTTGTATTCGGCTCGGTAAAATGATTGCTGGTTGGCTTCTTTTTCATACATGTAGGTGTTGCAAGTCCAGGTTTTTTATATATGTCCGTGGTCCCTCCACAGTCTTTTGAAAAGAAATTCCTTTCCTTTCATTCTACATCGTCATTGTAAAACTTGGTAACCTTTTTAACTGTAAACAGGCTATGGAAGCGCCCTCTTGTGGTTTAGCAAAACTTCCACTGTATTGCAACATGTCCAGCATATTATGCAACCATGCCAATTAGCCTTTTGTTGTTGCCCTGCATTTTAGGTTGTGAATTTTTTAGTTTATACAATCCCGCCTTGTTTGGTGTGGGTTGGTTGTTGGAGAGTTTTTGATGACTCTGTTTCAGAGCCCTCTAGAGAGAACACATAATTGTTTTGTTGCTCTCTGCTTGCTGGTGACGACTGTGTACATTATTGTACAGGTACCTTTTTACGATCGTGCACTGCTTACATGTACGTGTACAATTGCCATCCGTTCAACCATTGGCACAAGTCGTGGGATGCTGCATGCAAGCATGTAATGAAATAATATGAACCAGGAAAGCCAAAAATTGACTTCTCACAAAAAAGGGGGGAAAAAAAGGAATTCTTTGGACGGCCCAAAAAAATGAAGATATTTGCAATCAAACAAAACTCGACTTCTCAAGCGCTCAAAAACACAACTGGGTCCCCCCCAAATACCGATGAAAGTCTCGTAGGTTTCACCGGGAATAAAAAAAGATCTCAGTAAACAAGTATGACAATTCAAAAAAAAAAAAAGATACAAAAATGAGAAAGAAAAAACAACAGAAGCCAAAGTGGACTGTCAAAAGATTTTGAAACAACCAAAGAAAAAACTAGGAAGGGAAAAAACAAGAAGAAAAAGAAACGAGGGCTTCTATGCCTGTTTGCAACAGAACATACATGTACAGCTTTTTCCATCTCTTTCCACGTTTGCATATGCACTCTGCCAAATTTAATTTCTTAGGACATGTGCAAGGTTTTAAAAAGTGCACGTTCAATGTCACATGGCTTATCTCCTAAAGATTTCATCAGCCAACTAGAGCTTTGTGCAATAGTCTTATGGACAAAAAAGGGCCTCTTCACATTTTGAGGTTTTTCAAACAAACAACCAACAGTCAAATTTTTCTTTGATCTGAGTCTTTGTTGTTTGTAACTTTGATGTTGATCGAACCTCCGAAAATTGGCCAAATAGTGGCTTGAAACCATGTACAAAGTCAATGGGCTAGAAACACGTGTGCAGGAAAACTGCTCCTTTAATTTCATGTAACATGATTTGTGTCTGAACTGGAAAAACCGTATGAAATATATTTGATAATCTGACTCTTCGGTATATTTGCAATCGAACGGAAGGGAAAATTTAGTTTGATTTCTCTTTCGTTCTGATAGTAATTCTCAGTCGAAGTTGAGGACTGCTCACGCATTATGCTGGACAATTGTGTGTGCAAACCTTATGTTGTGCAACAACGCCATCTATGGTTCAATATAGGACAGCTTGTTGAAACCGTAATTCTGCAATAGCACCCTCATAGCCTGATATAGGACAGTCCGAAAACTATGTACAATCTGTGTAAAAAGTCTTTGGGAAAAACTAATTATTCAAAAATCAGTACTAAATAAACTTATTTTAATTATCACTGTGAACTTCTTCTAGGACCGTCCTTGGATGATTGTCCAAAGGTCTGCTAAGTTTGAAGTCGATGACATCATCATATCAAGTCAATTTTTGTCTAAATCACTCCCCATCTATGATATCTGCAAGGTTTGAACCTAATCGAAAAATGTGGTTCACCAAATATGCTTTGAAGAGTGCATCTTTAATGTCATGTGACTTCTCACATTATAAGGTCATCAGGATATCAGGTCAATGTTCGTCTAAAGCACTCTCCTTTCAAGATATCTACAAGGTGTGAACCCAATTGGGCATGCACTTCACCAGATCTACTGCTTTGAAAAGTGCACTTTTAATGTAACGACTTGTCACATTATGATGTCATTATGATATCAGGTCAAGTTTCATCAATTTTCCCTTTCTAAATACCCGACAGGTTTCAACCCAATCGGACACGCACCAGTACATGTACAATACATAATGCAGCACAAAACATTATTGTCATCATGGAAAGAGTATGGATTAGAGACTGCAAGCAGTTTTCTCTTTTGGTGTTCCATACAATGAGATCTGCTCTCAGTACCATGTGCTTGGCAATTTTCCAACTCCTGAGTAAATGCCCTATGCACTGTGCGCTGTCCATGTTACAAGCACACCTTGCATGTCCACACACACATTAACCAATGCGCAGTATGCCAATGGGATTTTCGAGTTCGCAAATATTGTAAGGGGTTTTTCGTTGTGGTCTGCATTATATGTACACCACTTATGCACTTCATGCAGTTGACTTCAATGTTTTAGCTATCAGCTAATGAACAATTTATGCTTAAATCTATTACAGTTGATTTTTTACCGAATTTTGAATAAAAGGACTTTTTATTATAACGGACACGTGATTTGACCCATACAAGATAAAATGACCCCATTTTACCTTGGCACGTGCTGCAAACTGAATGTTGCGGGAAGCCACAGTTGATCTTATATGGATTTTAAAATAATTAATCCTAACCCCCTAGAGTGTATGTAAAATCGTATTTAAATTGGAGGATTTGGGACTGTTAGGGTTAATGCAATTAAAAATCTAATAATAAATCACTGGAATATGTAATTCGGACGTAAATATTTGAGTATTATCTTTGCTTCCAGGTTTTGCGTCCACCATGTGCACGAGGGGATTGACATGTCCTAAAGTACAAGACACTACACAGTCCTATGGGTCTCATTAAGAATGCAAATTTATCTTCTGGTCTGCCTTAATGAACTGTTACTTTCAAGAAAGGAGGAACAAAGGACCAATGCATGGTCGATGCTACATGTACATGAACATGTGTGTGGATACATACAAAGTAAGTCTATGTACATATACGTAAGGAAAAGAAATTTAAACTTGGTGGTTAAAATGAGTAGGAAACCTAAGTGCAGGCATTCAACATGTTCAAACAATTAAAACCTGGGTATGTTGCACAATTTATAATTATTAATAATTGAAAATTTATAATGCGCAGTTTCCATAAAAATGATCAACAGCGCAGTACAAGATGATGTAAAAAGCACTGCTTTAAGAAATGAAAGGATAAATGAATGTCATCGCGCTAGTACCCAAACAACACTATAGATAAACAGTCAGTAAAAGTGGTCCTAAGCAAGACCCTTGAGGGACACCACAGTTTAAATCAAATTTCTCCGACAGAGTACCCTGAATAGAAATATGTTGGCTCCTGCCAGATTAATAAG